AGGAAGGTCAAAGGAAATTAATTCCTGGGGCTCTTCCCAACTTCCATGTTGGGCTGGGTCCGCTCAATGCTGATTTCCCCTCCCCCAGCACATCTAGTTGGAATATTACAAAAAATATGAGAAAAAACTAACTTAAATACAAAACCATCTACTTTGGTGTTGGCTTATTGAACAGTATTCATGAATTGCTACCTCCCCATAACCATGCATAAAAATTGGCACTTCAGTCATTATACCACTCCCACACAAGCTATATTGATTTCTACTATCTATGTAGGCTGCGCAGAGGCAGACTGTCTGCTGTCACAGGCTTTACTTAATATATACAGCTTTTTTGCTAAGGGTTCGATGGGGAGACATTTTCTTTTTAATATTGGCAAAAACAGTAACGAAATATACCATATTTGCGTCCATGCAATGCTATGCTCACAAGTGCAAATATAATATGCATATGAATAAGCACTGCAGGATAAATCATTTCCAGAGCTTTCCTGTTACAGTAGGAGTGCTACCATCAGCAGTCAACATTGTCCTCAGAGGCAGCCAAATACCAGCCTTTCTATTGAACTCATAGGGCACTTTGACCACAATACCACAAAACCACCTGTTATTGCAAGTAAAGCTCTTGGGGAAAGGGGAGATGGCAATGGAGCCTGTTTCCCCTGCCCCCTCACTGCCTGCATTTGCTACACCTCACTCCTCCCTTTTCATTGCCTTCCAATTGCCTACATTATTGGCTATCATATAAGTTTCAAGCAACTAAGACTCACGTTAGCAAAAGCTTAAGCTGTAATTAATTTTTCAAACGCTATCAAAACATTGATGAAATAATTGCATTTCCGGGGGGGGGGGCGTAGCTCTTGAAAATATGTTTCAATAGCAGTGAAAAATTATACAATCTACCCTGAAATATGGATGTCTCCTAGCTTGCCATATTTCTTGACAACCTCAGGAGAAGGTATGGAGCCCTGGGCTGAATAGGAAACTAGATACAACCCTGATTTGTAAGTCTATGTGCCTGGTAACCATTCTCAATCAGAACAGGAGAAAGGCCCCTTTCATGAGGAAGATCATCAGACTTCAACTCGAACCCATGAACCTTTTCAAAGGGAAGACGGCTGGTCGATTGTGAGTGCTGCAGCAAGTCGACAGCCTTTTCGGTGTCTTGAAAGGGCGGTGTGGATAATCGCAGGTCAATTTTTACCTTGATCGGTTCATCTCGCCGACTTACCCTGAACTGTCCATGCCACTCACTGCTGAGGACAGGATGGCGAATCGTGGCACCGCTAACGAAGTAAGCGAGGCCAAAAAGTAAGACCCAGGCAGGTATTCCCAACGCGGTAATGCGAATGCCGCTCGTAAGTTCGCAGTGCGTTGAAGACCACCGCCCACCTCATATCAGCCGCATCGCACGGATTGAAACATGTCGTTGCAGGCAGATGCATCCCCACATCTAGATCCTGTTCAGTTTTTTGTCCTGTCTTGTTCGGGGCACTGAGAGTCGGCTGGTAAAAACAGCGTCTCGGCCGACCGGCCGGGCCGTAAGAAATACCCTGATTTGTCGCCGATCTGCCTCCGAACCGACAAACCAACTAAAAATCATAGATTATTTATGTCGCCGGGCTGGGATGAAACCTTAAGAAGATATCATGGTGACGTATAGTACGGTAAAGAGTCTTGACGGGAAGGCTCGTTGGTGTTGTGTGATGAAATATATTACCATGGATGCATAATATCTATGCATGGGGACCTCATGATATGTCTCGCAGAGTGTACTGTATTATTTCGTCGTGGCTGTCACCAAAATCGTCTGTTGAAATATTTTTTTTTGCACCAAGCTTTGCATGAATCTTTGCCTTTTTGTCGCCGATCTTATCCAACAAGCCAGAAGATTTTACCGCCCCTGGGAATACCGCATCGTAGTAGTAAGACATGGTTTGGATCGTTGCAATGACAAAATGCGTTTTGAAACGCATATCGCAACGCAAACGCAAACGCAAACGTTTGCGAGGTACAAAAACCGTATGATAGCATGATGCTATACACACAGTTGATGATTGCGGCCAGATGAAATAATGTTTTTTTTTGCATGACCTTTCCGGTTCAATGCAATTGTGTATAATTGGGGACAACATTCGATATAAATTTAGAGTTGGGCTACCAAACCTAAGGGCGCTGTCGTTCCTCTTTTTTGGTGTCTCTGAAAACAAACTATGAATCACCGGATATTTCTAGATAGCCCATAATGCCTTTATTTAACAGCCGACTGTCATAGGACATACACAATTCAGCTTGTGACGCACGTTTAACGTTACGTTATAACGTGCGTATTACGTATTATTTATTATTACGTATTACATATTATTTATTATTACGTATTACGTATTATTTATTATTACGTATTACGTATTACGTATTATAACGTATTACGAAACGTTATAAACGTTTCATACCCGAAGAGACTAGCGTTCAACTCGGCTCTCAGATAAGGCTTCAGTCTCTTGATTTGATTTGACGAGACTTAGGTCACATTGACCGATGAAAAATTATAAGTGCATGATGGAGCTGTTTCAAGCACATTCCGACACGCTCTTTTCCCATCGATGGGAGGTTATTAGCCATTTAGGAGCAATGTAAGGTAATTGGGTTTGAGCTGTACCAATTTGACCCAAAATATCCAGTTTGGAACACCAAAGGTAAGCTGGACGTGCATTCATTAGTTCCATTTTTCGTGTTACAAAAGCAGTTTCGCCGCGTCTGCTTTGTTATGCTCCGTCTTTTCCTTTCCTCTCCTGCCAGGCAAAGGTCAGAAGAACGCGAAAACCGACAGCCCGGCCTGTAGCGTGACAGATGCCGAGCCAACTAACCGCGTGCGTCTCCACATTAATATGCGCGTTCGACGACCCTATCACGAGGCAGCGCCGGGCCACTAGCGCCGTGTCCACCGCGGGTCGCGGGCCTGCGGCGGGCGGCCGGCCGAGTGCTGGGGTCAGGGAGCTGGGCTCGCCTGAAACCGTTCCGCGTGACTCTGGCCAGACGTGCCGACCGCTGCCTGCTGGGACGTGTCAAGTGGCTACGCCCCGACCGAAGTAAGGAAACAGAGCTGGTACGTGCGTCCATTTATTGAACCAGCAGGCGTTGTCATGCGGCGGTATGTGGCGCTGGCACCAGAGCCCGTGTACCGGGGTGTGCGGTGTTCCTACCTCTCCACGCATTCTGCACACATCATCATGACAACCAACACGCATTCAAACCGTTCGATGTACGAGACAACGGCTGAGGCCGGTGCATTTGTGAGGACATACAACCGTGGTACATGATATTACATTGGCCCACGCATGCGTATATGGCAGCCCGTGCATGGTAAATAACAACATTTATTAGATAATATGCGACTTCCATCCACGCTGTGCAGGAGACTTTCATGAGGAGGTTCTTGCCTAATGGATTCGAATGGTTTCAAGCTTATATACCCATCACATTAGAATCACATCACATAGGCATCTTATCTAACTTCCCTCCGCCACATTAATGCACACCCTGGCGTCTGATCTGCCATCCTAACCGCATTGGATCAAAATTTCACCACCACGGGATGCATAAAAAACGAGGTCATTAAAGTAACCTTTGGCATGTACAGGCATCCATAAACCCTGTACACAGCTCACATCATGCTGCGGTTTAGGAGTGATGACCGAACAAAATATGTCGAGCAAGTGTATATGTTCTTCCTGCACAGGCCGCACAATTAAAGTCAATAAAGTTAATTGAAGTGCATAGGCTTATCTGAGCGCACGAGTGAGGCACAACATAGACAGATATAATCAATGGCGTATTTACAGGAAACCAAGGACGGCTATTGAAAGGGGCAAGCTCATTGTGTGGAATTTGCAAAGAGACGCTCTTGCACTGGATAAGCGAAATAGGTTTTAGCAGTGGTATAACTTGTTCGTTATTGATTCCTGTTTAAATATTTGGTCTAATTTCTTTGAATGCATACACAATCGAGATGCTGTTATGCGCATCACTTTTATGCAAGCCACGGCCACGTATCGAGAGTTATCGTTGATATGGATGTTTTCTGCCCAATAAGCGTGCTTTTTACAGCAAGGATTAGATTTTGGTCTCAAATTCAGCTTTCGAACAATACAAAATCATGAGCACATAGCATAATGACACCATTGCTCTCCATCTTCAGTCGCAACGCCACGGACCAAAATGTCATCCTAATGAAAGTACTGCCTTTCGATTAACGCAAATAACCAGGGTAGTCCACGCGCACTTAAAACCTAATGACTAGCTGCTATTTAATGCTGCCATTTAACTAGTCCCGAGCCAGCCCACAGCTTCCCATGATTAATTAAGCATAACGAGAAACCCCATCGTTTAAGAAAGGCTCATAGTAAACCCAAACTCGAAGTAAAATATCCCCCCCCCCCCAAAGAAAAAGAAGCCGGATAAATAGGTGGGTATTTCACAACTTCCAACGTATTTAACTTGAAAACTACTTTTTTGGAAGGCCAAATCGTTATATGTGGCCCACGAAGACGTTGTTCTTAAAGTTTTTCTGTGAAAAAGCATTTGCTGCCCATACCACAACAAACTTTGCTTCGAAATATCAAGCTCTCTTCCCAAAACAAGATCTTTCCAGCCGATGCTTTCAGGGAAAGCATTGGACACATTTGAGTAGATGCATGGCGGCACAGGACCGAAACATCGCCACACACCGGACGCCTAGGTGACTGTGCTGGACGGCGTTTGCCTGCACCTCACTGTTACGGCATGTGGCGACGTAGCGGATTCTTGCAGTGAAGTTCTGGTGGTCAGAAAGGAAACTGACCCTTAATCTCCGCAAATGGCGAGCTTTATGACGCAATGTAGATTACAATTTCGCTCAATCGACCGCGAAGAGTCTGCGGCGGGGTAAATTTGCATTCCATCCGCCAAGATGAGGAATTCATCGAATGTCGTGAGATGAGATTTTGGCCCTATTTGTTGACCTCATATGGACACCAGCCCAACTGTGTCTGTTCCTCCTGTAAGTGGTGACAGCTCGCCAAGTTTCGGACATACTGGTGTTTCGGCTGTAAATGGGGTGCCCGTGTAGTACCGAGACCAATGCAGCAAATCTCCCGTACCCTGCGATCCCGTACCATCGGTTGCAACCCAAGAGAAACAGATTGTCATGCGTTTTCACGCGATCTCAGTTCGGTAAGTGACTTTCATATTGTTTGATGTCATACAGCAGAGCATGATACACAAAACGGAAATGATCTGAGTACATAAATAAAACCCACTTTGCCACCCATAATATACGCTAAGTCGGCCTACTCAGAAATCGAACACGTGCCAAGTGGCAGTTTTACCAAACACCGCTAAACTTGACTCGTCGGCGAGACCCGTGCATCCTTTGTGTTTCAGACGACCACTGGCACATCTTACGTATCAGCCGTGGTGAAGAGGACTGGGGCTCACAAGGCTGCCCTTCGTCCACTTCGAGACTAAAGTATCCAGCCGCTGCCTTTTCGTCAAGATTGTGCCTTATAACAGGAAATCCTAATCACGACATCGCGCGAGAACTCTCCACCAACGGACCGGCCGCGCCTGGCTCGTTTCACCGGCGCTCAAGGCGCGCCGTCTAACCCTCCTGATAGTGTGCATTGTCCTTGAACAGGTAGACACACCAGAAGATGACGTTGAAGCCGAGATATAAGATGGGATACGCGAGCCGGATGAGCCTCTCTAGGCGATTAGCCATCACGTCCCAGGCGATATCGTCGCAAACTTTCTGGAACGGGAGGCACGTGTCAGGCGCGGGCGCGGCGCAGCACGACCACCAGCAAGACACTTCTGCTCAGCATACGATGTCCGACCCTGTGCGGTCGTGGGGGACGTTGGCCAGCCGGCAGTCACGTGAAGCTGGCCAGGCCTTGCTGGGCTCTTCCAGGCAGGGTGTGGTCAAGTGGGAATTACTCGGAAGCTCTTCCGCTCTAGACCACATAGCGCATATATCGACGCGGTCCTTGAAGTCAGTTCCGACCGATTTTCACGTCACTGCATTGATTGTGATGTAGAGTGTTCTCCTAAAAGCTGGAAAACCGCTGATTAACTACAGCTAAACGGGGAAGTCGCTACCTCCCCGGCACCACAAAAGTATGACCAGCAGCGCAGTGCACGCTGGGGCCTGACCCATTTCACCCCCGTCGGCAGTCAGGGCTGCCCGTCGTCGCGGCGCTTACCCAGCGCCAGGCGCCAGCCGGGGCCGACGGCAGAGAACGCTGGAAAAGGCATCGACGGCAGAGGACGGTGGGAAGAGGACCGACGGCAGAGGACGGTGGGAAGGGGACCGACGGCAGAGGACGGCGGGAAGAGGGCCCATAGCAGAGAACGGTGGGAAGAGCATTGACGGCAGAGGACGGTGGGAAAAGAGCCGATGGTAGAGGACGGTGGGAAGAGCTTCGACGGCAGAGGACGGTGGGAAAAGGGTCGATGGCAGAGGACGGTGGGAAGAGGGTCCGTAGCAGAGAACGGTGGGAAGAGCATCGACGGCAAAGGACGGTGGGAGGAGGACCCATAGCAGAGAACGGTGGGAAGAGCATCGACGGCAGAGGACGGTGGGAAAAGGGCCGATGGTAGAGGATGGTGGAAAGAGGACCGACGGCAGAGGACGGCGGGAAGAGGGCCCATAGCAGAGAACGGTGGGAAGAGCATCGACGGCGGAGGACGGTAGGAAAAGGGCCGGTGGTAGAAGACGGTGGGAAGAGCATCGACGGCAGAGGATGGTGGGACGGGAACTGAGGGCAGAGGACGGTGGGAAGAGGACCGATGGCAGAGAACGGTGGGCAAAGGACCAATGGAGGAGGACGGCCGATAATAGAGGACAGCCGAGAACGACCGGCGGCGGAGTGCGCTCAGAGAACCGCGGCCGGCGAGGACGGGCGACAAAAGAGGACTGAGGTCCGACGCCACAGATGACGACCGACAGAGGACAGGCGGCGACGCGCGACGGCAGAGGACAGCCATAGAGGCCGGGTCGCGATTGGGGCCGAGACGCCGCCGCCGATCGCGACGAGGACCAATATTAGCATCGGAGCCTGATAGCTCGGCATCAATACGGTTCCGGCGCGGCCCGCCTGCCGGCGGGCAGTTAGCCGGCGCCGCGGCCGGGACGCGACAGGAAGCGGCACTGCCAAGTCAGCGGAGCGAGGCGCGTCAGCACCGGCGCCGCATTCAGCCCTGGTCGCGCCCTGCCAATCGCCGCCGGCGTCTGGCCGCCGCTGAAATTCGGGGCGAGCAGCGGGCGGAAGGCGGATGGGAGGGGGCGTACCGTGGGCGGGAGCTGGTCGGCCGAGCAGGGCAAGGGGACGCACCTTTGGCGGTAGAGGCGGGTCGTTAGGCGGAGGGTGGCCCTCGGGCGGGAGGAGATAGAGGGGCAGGGAGTCATGCTATGGGCGGGAAGAGCGGGCCAGAGGGAGGCGAAATGGGAGGCGTACCTTGGGCGGGAGGAGATAGTTAGAGGGGCAGGGAGTCATGCTATGGGCGGGAAGAGCGGGCCAGAGGGAGGGGAAATGGGAGGCGTACCTTGGGCGGGAGGAGATAGAGGGGCAGGGAGTCATGCTATGGGCGGGAAGAGCGGGCCAGAGGGAGGGGAAATGGGAGGCGTACCTTGGGCGGGAGGAGCGAGTCGGTAGGCGGGTGTGGCGCCACCTTGTCGCCGTTGATGCGGATTGGACGGACGTGCGTGACGGTCGTCGGCTCCCGCTCGGCGCGCTTCTTCCTGTTCTTCTCGGCCACGGTCATCATCCTGGCCACAGGTGCAGCAGGCGGAGCGTTACGGGGGCCAGCGGTGAGACGGTCGAAACAACCCGCACCTATCCTCACGATGCACACGGTTTGAAAACTATTGTCTAGAAGCAGACACGATCACTCCACAGCTGAGGACGCCGTTAATGATCTGCCACACGCATTATTTAGAGAAGTTTGGTCGTGTATAGCTCTACCGGAAGCTTTTACGGTTAACTTGTGAATGATATTAGGCCTACGCTTATTGCGGTACAACTGTAGCCTGCGTGCAGGGTGTCTTCCAACACCGGAAGACAACGGTAACATGACAGATGCAGACTGATGTTGCGTAAACCCGCCATCAGCGGGTTTACTATTCCAGCGAGTCCGTACACGTCCGATCGTATGAATCGGCCGCCAGGGGGCGTAAGCAGGGGGAGGAGGCCCAGACACACGCGTTCGCCTTAGGTCTCGCTGGGCCCGTTCCAACCGATCATCAGTGGCCGAACTGGAGAGCGTTTCGGCGGCTTAGTTTAACTCAACCTCGTGCGTTGGAGAGAGAAAGAGAGAGAGGGAGGGGGGGGGGGGGGGGGGGGGGTCGGACGCACATTCGTAGCTTCACTGCCCGGCGCGTACGGTAGCAGGAGGCCCCAGCTGGCACTCGGAAAGTGGATGGTGCATTATTCGTGCTGATGGTCGCAGGAAGATGATGGACGCGTGGACACAACAACACGGTCGGCTGTAAGCAGTGCCGGCGGAAATTGTGCACTGCCGGTGAATGTAATGTAGGACAGCCCGTAAGATATTCATTGCGCGCAATGTTTGTCATGCCTGAAGGTATGACTTCCCATCAGCCGCACGGCAAACATGTTAACGAAATGACAACTTTTTTGTTCTTGTCGCCACTTTGTATCACGGTCAGCAATGGTTTTAAAAGTAAAAACAAGTCCGCAGTTTCCCAAACGTGACCAGTTAGACAGTTACTACTGAGCTGAGGTGTTACTGAAGTTGTCGATGATATATATATATATATATATATATATATATATATATATATATATATGGTGATATGCCTAGGATTGCCAACTTCTACTCTGTGACAAATGTGGCTCCACACCAGTCAAATTGGATCAAACGCTAAACTCAAGGGTCGAGCACCGGAGTTAGAGCCACGCCAAATCCGATCATGCTTCACGAACAGGGATGACAAAACTCTATGGCAGGCGGCTGGCTGTGTCACGGAAATGTATGGCGCAATTGGGACTAACGAGCCGAATTTCTAACCAACAGGGGGGCCCGAATTAGGTCCCATATTCGGGACTCCCTTGCTGCCGGGGTCCGCGTCCTCTCATCGAAGTTTGAGTAGCAATCACCGTGGCGTGGCCACAGTGTCGCCCGAGAACGTCCAACACATGACTAGCTTTGAACTGAAGCATGCTAGGTGATATTCTGGAGTTTTTTTCAGGAGCTTGCTCGAAATGTCTGGAAGTGTTGTCCCAGTTCCCGTTATCAAATTACACAAGGGAAAGTGACGTTCAAGCGACTTCTGTTGACTCACTCCTTGAGAAGTTCAAAGATTAAGTTAGTCACTAAAAATGAAGTTCTGGGACTATCTATACATTGTCCAGATGGTCCTGCTATACCGTGCATTGACGCTATGTGGTGCGTCTTATGTTTCATTCTGTACAGCTCCACAAAGTTGGTGTCATTACGTCGCGCCGGTCGGAAACTAAGTTGGAAAAACTTCATGGAGTTCAAACTGATCCCCACACAGGCGTATGGCATAGATGCGTCACATGCGTCAAATCGTGTTTCAATCTACATGACAAATGGGCACGCATGAAATAATATCACAGTGCTTAAAGATCATGCGTAGGAGTCAGACAAATATGCGAACAAAGATAAATGTGACAACCAAAATGGGACGTAAGACAGTAAAGATCGTGAACGCATCGGAAATATATTTTTTCATTAATCACGCACTAAGCTACGTCATCCTATCCTGTTTCATGCCATATTTTGTGCCGCTTCACTTGCTGTCTAGCGCGGTGAAAACGCGGAAATGTTTTCGCTGTAACCTATGGGAGAACAGCAGTCCTCTAAGAGTTTTCGCTAAATGCCTATGGGAGAACTACATTCCTCCAAGAGTTTTCGCTAAATGCCTATAGAAGGGCAATAGTCGTTTAAAGCATGAAATCGTGCATAGCAGTACTCTCAAAAGGCACTACAGCTATTTTAAAGGTAGCGGTTAAGTTAGCTCAAGCTGAAAAAAAAACAAAGCGGGAAAGATGCAAACAAAGGGCTCCGATATTTCCGATTGCTGTTGATGTTGTTGTTCGCTGTTGCTGGAACGATATTTCATCGCCCGCAAATTTTCGTCTCGTTCCGGAAACCGAAGCATTGATCATGTCAGGTTTAATCCTTTTATGCAGCAGCAATTGCCAACATTTTTTGCGTCTATTTTAGCACCATTCCAACATCAATTTGCCTTACCTTATCACGATGACGTACTCCGAAAGTGCGATGAAAACAAAAAGCACGCAGCCTGCCATCCAAATGTCGACTGCTTTGGCATAGCTGGCCTTCGGACTCTCTGCCCTGCAATAACATCACACTTTTCAAATTTACTCTCATAAAATTGGCTTTGCGACTATCATCCATTAGAGCCGTGTATTCAGTACCCATTAACATGCTGGTCTCGAGAGAGGGAGAGAGAGAAAGAGAGGGGGAGAGAGGTAGAGAGAAATAGAGAGAAGGAGAGAGAGAGAGAGAGAGAGAGAGAGAGAGAGAGAGAGAGAGAGAGAGAGAGAGAGAGAGAGAGAGAGAGAGAGAGAGAGAGAGAGAGAGAGAGAGAGAGAGAGAGAGAGAGAGAGAGAGAGAGAGAGAGAGAGAGAGAGAGAGAGAGAGAGAGAGAGAGAGAGAGAGAGAGAGAGAGAGAGAGAGAGAGAGAGAGAGAGAGAGAGAGAGAGAGAGAGAGAGAGAGAGAGAGAGAGAGAGAGAGAGAGAGAGAGAGAGAGAGAGAGAGAGAGAGAGAGAGAGAGAGAGAGAGAGAGAGAGAGAGAGAGAGAGAGAGAGAGAGAGAGAGAGAGAGAGAGAAATGCGAAAGACGATACACATGCTGAGATCCGCAGAAGCACCGGCTCACCTGACGGCGTTGAACATGGCCGTGAGCGTAAGCAGGGTGGTGATGGTGAGCACCATGCGGCCGGGCACCACCTCGGGCGGCACCAGGAAGCTCAGCCAGCCCACCCACACGAACAGCGCCGACGGGATGAACGTCTGCAGCAGGTGGAAGCTCAGCCGACGCTGCAGGTTCACGTGGAACTCCAGCGCCGGGAAGCTCACTGCCGGAGCACATGCACGCGCACTCCGTCAGACCGCTGGCGTGAGGCGGGCGAGCCGAGCGGCGTTCAACCGAGCACACCCGAGCGCGAGTCACCGAGTACATCACCCGAGCGCGAGTCGCCGAGTACATCACCCGAGCAGCGAGCAAAACGACCAGAGCAGCGAGTAGCCGGCCAAACGTCCTGGTTCGCGTGGATCGGATTGGTGTTGAGTGTTGCTTTTGTTGGACGAAACGGGACCTTAATTTGAAGGACTTCCTGAAATTGGTCAAATAAAAAATACGGCCTCAGTAACATCTCGCTAACAAGGGAACACTGCAAGAAAGCAGGTGTTATGGTGAGCTGTTATCTGTGTATATCGTAGCACTTCGTTCGTAAGTGTCTGTCAAAAGAGACTATCGCGTTTTTCATTAAAAAGGTCAGCATTCCTCACAGTATCCTAGATCGCATCGTGCCTCGTGGCGGGTACCTCATCATATGTCCGGTGGTACGCAATGTCCGTTACCCGTCAGACCAAAACAAGTCACGTAATTTATAATGTGGGCGATTTCAGGTCACTCCCACACCCTGGCACTGTGCCCGGATTTGCAATGCGTGGCCACCTAAGCGCCCGTCATGGATCGGCAGACAACATTCTCAGATCGGGACAGGACATGCCTAACAGGCGCGTGCCGCCCGCTTGGCTTGAGCCCAGCGCTCCTACCAGTTCAATACGCGCTCACCGGTATCGTGCGCTCGGTGACGTCAGCACTTCATGCATATCGCCACCACTTGTCGGCTATTGGGGCCTCGCAAACGGAGTACCTCGACGCGTATCGGTCGTTTCGCTACACATGATATGCAGATGCGGGTTCTGTGTCGTAACCGCGGGAGTCATTTTGGATGCAATACTCGGGCCGGCGTGTGAATTACGACTTGTTTGTCCCCATGCAGCGGTCCCGTGCGACGGCGCCGAAGATTGAACGCGTCACCGCCGTCAGAAATATGTGGTGTCCCTGGAGGAACCCTAACAGCTGTGGACAGGTCGGCGTTATCGTCAGGCAGCGTTTATAATCGTAGCTGACACGACGACCGCAGTGACACCAGCTGGGGCCGACTATGGTGGTGCGGTAACCTGGTACATTCTCACTTCACATTGCCGAGTTTGGACGAATATGAGACAGCCCGTCCATGCTGCAATGTTCTGGGATGTTCTTATGTAGGCAAGGCTTGCTGGGTCATCAACCCTTCAGTTCATCATCTAAATGGAACTTACGAAATTTGAAATTTCCTCGCTCTCTCAGTTCATAAGCTTAATGATGTTTTACGCCACTTGACGGCATCCATGTTCCCCTGTCATTGCCTAATTAACTAGCTATTGGTTGCTAAGTGTACAATATATTTGAAATAAATTCATGTAGAGCCAAGCTAAATATGCGAGTAAAACACACATTTCATGCTAAGATGGCTAAAGGGCCCTCGCCGTTTATATCAGCCTTCAGCCCTAAGCGATTTAGTTGAAGCATACGCACTGGCTTCATGCCTGTTCTAACCCATATAAACGACCACAGTGAGAATGTGCTACAGACCTCCCTCACGGAGCCAGCGCAACCAGTGATCTAGGCCAGTGCAGGCGAGCAGAAAGCTCCCTGCAACGTCTGCACTGGCAAAAGCGTCGTTTCCTAACGTTGCGGTTGATTCTGAGTCCGGGGCGTGGGGGTTCATGACCTAACTTCCACGGATTCGTTGGAAAAGTCGTTAAAATGACAGCACGTCGTCGTGAAGTTCACCGTTGATGATATCGTGCCAACCGTGACCCAGCACATTTTAGCGGAGTCATTGGGTTTCGGAGTGAGAATTTTCGCTTGGGAGGTCTTTGGGCATGGACGAGGACTATGCAATCGCCCTGTCAGAATTAAGAGGCAATATTGACCTCGTTCCGTCTTAAAGTGCGGGATCGAGTATCGTCTTCGATTCCCACTCAACCGAACTAAACACATCGCCTCAAACTACTCTTCGCTTTAAGGTCTTAGAGTTCAAGCTTTCCCCCTGATTGAGAATGTCTCAGTGGTCGGTGTTTTGGCGGCTCGGTTTAGCTAGAACATCAGGCGAGTCTGATTTCTCTTCAGACCGACGGCAGAAGCCTTCGCCACCGTGGTCGCACACCGGGGGCTGGCAACCAAGCGTGACATCACTCACTGGTGTGATGGCTGTAGTTTTGCGTCTTCAGCACCTCCACCTTAATGTCGTAGTGGTCGTGCGTCAGGTCAGGGCTGACTTCCACGCCGGCTGCTTCCCACTCGTACACGACCTCCTCGGTGCGGTACGAATCTGAAAGCAGCGAGGGACGTGAGGCCGTGCGCCCCCCCCCCCCCCCTCCCGTCATCGCGAATATGAAGCCATTGACCGGTCGATTGGCCGGTCCCGTGACCCCTGTGATCGGCGAGTTCGATTGGTGCCCGTGTTTCCGCCGCACGTGTCGGAGGCCATGCTTTCTAAACAGCTGTCAGACATTCTAACGCCATAGCTCCGGGCTGATTGTTCGATAATCGAAGGCTAGCCTTGCCGAGCGTTTGTGATTCTGGCGCCCTGTTATTTTTGGTGCGCATATTTTAGAACAAATTATAGGCCACATACTGCCGGGTGACAGGTTTGCCTGGGCCACACATTTCTTTCCTTTAAGACACATATGAGTTTGCTTGCACGACAGGATAAAGAGTGAACCGGAAAATGTCAAATAGAAAAAGTGAGAAGAGTCATGTCGAAAGGGCAACCAGTCAGCAGCGTGAAAAGTCAACGGGAACGATGCTCGATGTGGAAAAGGGAAACGGCTGGAGATCTCCAGAGCGGGAAGTGAACAGCAGAAGTCGAGATGGAGACCTTAAACAGACAAAAATTGTAATGGAATACCACAAAGGAAACAATACTAAAATATCAAACGTCATAGACAAGAAGTAAAAAGAAAGGAATTCGAGTAAAAAGGGAAGGAGGGTTTGCCACAAATGACAAGATCAGGTAGATCGATCAACCAACAAACCAACCAATCGCCTAAGCTCTGAAGGAGGACATATTGAAAGACCATAAAGGCCGTAAGAGGAAATAAGCCATGTGACATGACCTTTTATGACACTGGTCCGGACGCTTAGGGCCGGGCGTAAAAATGTCATGAGCGGAATACTGGAATAGACTAGCTCAGACTAGACCAAACCAGAGTGAGACAAACCAGACCAGGCCAGATCAGGCCAGACCCAGCGCAGAAAAACCCACGACACAGCGGGATGGGACCGGACAAATACATCCAGGACGTGATTAAAAACAGGACCCCGCAGCACGAACCGAAATGCAGCACCGGTTGCGCCATGGCCATCAGGCGTCATGGCGAAATGAGACCTAGAGCTGTTGGAGGTCACCCTGCTGTTTAGCGCTCCTCAAAGGAGTGCAAGACTATGTGCGCCGCATTCCGTGAAAAAGAACAAAATAGAGCCGGACTGAACCGAACCGAACCGAACCGGGACGGACCGGGACGGACCAGGATGAACCGAAACGCACCGGGATGCGCCAGAGGCAGAGGCAGCGAGCATAGACCTTCGGAACCCTGAACGCGTATAGGAACGAATTCGATAGTATCCATTGGCACATCTACTCAACGGTTGGTAAAGGCCTTTCCTATAACCGTACCCATACACGTAATTATCACCAAATCTGTACCCAAACGACCGGTAACTCGATCCACATAGGTGCCCATGGGCTTAGCCAGCCTGTTAAGTCCTCTACGCTCGTCCGGCCACGTTTCCTTCAGGCATAATGAGCTCTCGTAGTTATCAATGCAAGAGTAAATCCGTCTGAAATCCCTCTTGAAACTTTTTCATCTTTTAAACTAGAATGCTGGAAAACACCCACGGGTTGGGTAACGAGTGGGTATAACTGATTCGTAATGAGAAATGGGCGTGTATGGGCACACCTTCACAGATAGCAGGTGAGTATGGATAGCATGTGGAGCGTGTAGCCCCTTGGATAGCGAATGAATTGGGTAAAGGCAGTCACATCCATGAAGACCTCTAAAGGCACGGAGCCAGACGGGACGTGCCTCGAGTGCGCGTGGACGCCCTGTGGGCGGCGCTGCCGCTCGCGGCAAATCGCCGCTGGCCAGCGAGAGGTGCGGCCAATAAATCAAAGCCTCGCCACCAATCAACACAGTCGACACAATCGGACCGAGCCGGGGAGCCACCGCCGCCTGAGCGGACACCGGCTAAAGCTAGGGCGCTACCTGGTCTGGCAGTGTGGGCAGTGTGTCGTGCGCCGCGGTGCACCGCAGCGCAACCACAGCCTGCTGCGGTGCACCACAGCACACGACGCGTCCTGCTGCGGTGCACCACAGCACACGACGCGTCCTGCTGCGGTGCACCGCAGCGCAACTACAGCCTGCCGCGGTGCACTACAGCACATCCACAGTCTGCTGCGGTTGCCTGCTGTGGTGCACCGCAGCATATCCACAGTCTGCGGCGGTTGCCTGCTGCGGTGCACCGCAGTGCAATCACAGCCTGCTGCGGTGCACCGCAGTGCAACCACAGCCCGCTGTCGTGCACCGCAGCGCGGCCACAGTCTGCTGCGGTGCACCACAGTGCGGCCATAGCCTGCAGCGATATTGCACCAACCTCGCCACTGTCCGAGTGCTGTGGAGAACCGCGGATTGCCAAGTTTACGTGGACACGCTTTTTTAGCGCATGAACGGAAGCGATCAGTGGCTATCGCGTGGAAATACTGTCAATTCAGGGTATGCTAATATAATCGTCACTCTGATAAATAAACGAGCCGGGTAGCTCTTATAACACATGTTGAATCAATGAGAAAATAATGCACGGTAAATGCAACAGTTTCCAAGCAAGACGTTTATTCGAACCAGCTAGATGACAAAAAGAAAATACGATGCGATAAGTCAAACCAATGGCGCAAAACAAAGCGGTGCAAAGAAAAAGTGCAAGTGCAAAACATCAACAGAAATGAGGGTAAAAATGAAAGAATGTTGGAGTCTATAAAAGAAACTGGATTATGTTCAACAGGGATGAATTAGTCGGAACAGGAAAAATCAATAGACAACACATGAAACGGAACTGAAATGGAAAGGAATGCCGTTAAACGGAACAAAATTCAAGAAATCGGATGATTTAGTTAAGGGAACATGTCAGCTTCATGTAAACCGACAAGAACGACAAAAGCACAACAACAGGGAAGAGGTCCAGTTGACCGAAGAGATCCGCGGAGCTAGGCGTAAATCCAGGCTTTCTCCGTCCCGTTTGGAACGCTTCCCGAAATCGCTGTCGCACGACTTTAAGACTTTAAGTAGACCTTGCTACCCAGCCCGCTCAAGCTCAACATACAAGTTGAGAACCTGTAGGGATTTCGAGCTCTTCACATGGGTGCAGAAAATCCACAGATGAGGGATGAGCTGCGGATGAAAGCAATAACCTAAATATTCTGTGTGTCAGCATTGGTGTTAAGTAATCACCCTCAGAGTAACGCCATTCTTCTGCTCGTCATGTTGCCGCTCAGAAAGAAGGCCGTAGCAGCGGCCAATACAATGCGCGCTGGATCTCTAACAGGCCCCAGCTCAGAGTAAGGCTTCTGAGTCACAGTCTGAGTCACACGGGACGAAATCTTAGCAGGGCGGTGCCACTCGGCTAAGCTGTGTATGCGGCTGGCAGACGCGGAACGGCAAAAGGCTGGAGCATAGCTAAAATGAACTTGAGCTGGTAAGGATTTCCAAATGCAGCCTTCCACCGCCAGTCAGATAAAACTTAAATGAAACTCAATCTCGCGCCGGATCAGAAGGAAAGCTTATCAAATATCAACAGGGCGCCACCGCCCGGCCGCTCCCAAAGACAAATAGCGTTTCAAGAGCAGTCAAAGGCTCAGGCAGTCGGCCGGCTAGCGCAATGGTTGGCTTCGCTGAGCTCTCGGATCAAGCTCCTCGTCGCTGACTTTCTCCGGAGATAGCAGCCGTTCGTGGACGGAATGTGTCGAGTGCGAGCCGACCACGCTCAGGCGCTGGTCAGACCATCTTAGAGCTACTCGTGACGTGTATTATTAGGCTGAGACGATTCTGAACGCTGAGAGCCGCGTTCAATCTGCGAGCCCGTCGCGTCGACCGTCCACTTGAGAACGGCGCACGCCCTGAGGCATCTGACGCTTAAGCCGTTATCTCCCCAAGGACATGATAAGTACAGCCTTTCGGGGACTCTACTTTCAAGATCCACTCCAGCTCAATCGACCAGCTTTCCTTCTATTCCCAACAATTCATGTTTTTTGCACATCCGAAGCACAGTCTGAACCACTGTACGACGTCAAAACAACTTTTCCACAAGACATCTCATCAATACCATCGTCCACAAGCTAACATGAAATTGCCAAAGCAGCGTCGTAAGCACATTGCCTTCCATAATGCGACTTCCTAGTTACCAACTCATTCGGATGTTCCGATCAGCCTGGGCTGACCGATCTTTACATACATTGTTATTCTAACCCGGCATTGACCTAGCTCCTTGGCAGCACGCCATTGGCCGACGGAGAACAGATTTGACCCGCCCCTGCTTATCTCAAGAACGGTTGTGCCAAGTTCAGCATTTGTACCGCGTATTTAAAACTTGTATCGCAATCGACAGCGCCTTGGCGTGCGGTGTCAGACCACACAGCAAGCTTAAGTTTAGGTGTGAATTAAGATCACAGGTCACGACCGAACGCTGATTTTTGTGTTGAATATCTGGCGGCCCCGCAAAACATTTTATTTTGACGCGTGTCTCATCGTGTGAAATCATTTCGCCATGATCAAACATGCTACATAGGAAGTAATTCAATGTTACGTGCGCCGTACCAGGTCTAGAGCCAAGGTCACGTGCTGTGCAAATGAGAGCCGAAACCTTGGTGTGCATATCTGTTTTGGTCTATTTATTCCCGTCACATCTGAACCATTTAAGCGCAACGTGGAAGAACTTAGCCGCCATTATGGGTGTCAGACAAGTGAGCAGGAGCGGTCACTTGTTCAAAACCCGTCTAAGGTCGAGGTCAAATGGATAACCTCGATGGGGGAAAAAGCTGTTGAATCGATTTTTGCTTCGTTTTGGACAGTTCGGTGCTGCCGACAGCGCAACCTGATACCCTTCGACCCCTCCACCAGTCACGCGTTCGTTGGCTCGCGTGTGAAACTGATACCGGCCCCGTCAACGCGCCACTGCGGCAGACCTGAGCCCGCCGCCCACCGCCGCGGGCCGGGCGGGCGCCTGATAAGGGGTTACATGCGTTGTGGTGCATTTTAAGCCATAACTAACTCACTGTTT